TCATTTTTCTAAAATAATGCATAAATGTATTTTTAATGGTTATCTAATATTGCATTGATACACTATGAAGCAATTTAACCATTCCTCTGTGGTTGGACATTTATGTTGTTTCCTAATTGTGTGTGTTTAGTATATATTTAAACCAAGGAGAAATGTGTTTGCACCAAAGGTAGATTATATGTTCTACTTAATGCAATGTGCAAGCAGAAAATGGATGACAGAGAGTTGTTCTTCCCTCCTTGTTTGTTTGTACCAGAACTCTATTATTTACATACATTTTAGCCTCTGTGCCATTTTCAGAAGCTTTATTTGTCTCACTTACTTTTTGGTTTGGATAAGCCTTAAATATAAAATCCATCTGTGAAGCATATTGCATATTCTCATTGAAAGCTAGAAACCCATTTTTAATTAAAACTTTATTCAGCACTCATGGTTCACTTTGTCCTGTTTTTATTATGAAACACTTCATCTTCTTCCTAAAACACATATGTTTTATACATTTCAAGATGTTCCTTGTTGCTCATGCAGACCTAGTTTCTTGATGCTGTCAGCTCACCACCATATGTCCTGGCTGCTCGTTTTGCTTCCTTTTCTGGCGTTTGTGTAGAAAACAGCTTGTATGTAATGCAAGTTAGGCTTATTCCACTTTCTTTTATAAAACTTGTCAGAAGATAAAATAGCAAACTGGAAACACTGCATGATTATCTGACTTGTTAGTTTATATGTGATTATAAAGGATGTAGCCTGTCTTAAGCTCCTATTGTTTATAAGAAACTATGTCCAGTGAGACCTGAAGTCTTGCCAGATGTGAATAATTACAATTAGGATACTATTGGGGACTCCTTGGAAATAGCACAAATTACATAAATTGCAGTTCTTCAGTATTGATTATGAAACCAAATGTGAAGACTGGGGGAAAGGGAGCATAAAAGTGAGATTATCCCTTTTATTTCCAGCAACACACCATTGTGCTTTCATCTGAAAGTCTCTGCAGGATTGTCCCCACTACATATGTGATATTTGAGATAAGTTGTGCTGTACTTCAAGTTAGGTATGGTCAGAAGTGAACTAATTTAAAAAGGAATGATGTTTAGGTTGGATCTGAATTAGCAAAGGCAGTGGTATTAAAAAGTTTGCTTTGCCTTTAAAGAAAATTACCAAGCATGATAGGCTTTACATTTTCCCTAATACAAAATCCCAAAATAGAAAAACTTCCACCATTTGAACCTGATGAGTTCTGAATATCTGAATTTTTCAAGTAGTTCCATTATAGTTTAATTAAAATTCTTGTTCTTTTAACTATTGACTGGAACCTCTTCTAAAGTTACCATGTATTTCCTAACCGCCTTAAAACAGAGGATACTGAATATATTTTAATGCATTCCTGGTGATTCTGACTTACCAATGTGAACATCAGTTATTGTATCAGCCAGTTTAAATACAGGGCTGTTTAACTGCAGGAGAGCCATTTGTGCCTGAAATGACTGCCTCCATGCTGAAATGGCTCTGTTTTGTTTTGTTTTTAGCATTTGCACTGCTCCAGTGTTTGTCTTTCCCATGCTGACAGTCGGCACATCTCATTATTTCAGAATTTTTCCCCTCTAATTTTCTGTTCATGATGTAACAGGCTTGGAGACCAGGTTACCAATTAGATATGATTGTATAAAACAAGAAGGAAAATGCCCTGTCAAGGACCTGTCAACTGTTCATAGAATGGCATCAACTTTGACTGGTAAGTTTGTGTATGCTCTGTGTTTCCTCTAGGTGGACAAACCTGCTGTGTCCGAAGAGTGAGTTAGTGTAAATGTTAACAATCTGTCCTCCAAATTAAGTTAAAGAAAGGATAAAATTACTTTGGCGTAATATTCTAATTTCACAAAAATTTTAATATGAGAGAAGCTTAAGTGCATTTAGACCACATTGACATTCCTTTATGTGATAGTTTACAATACCATACAAGTTCTACCTCCTGGTTGGTTAGAATGCATGTCTTTAACTATAGTACTGTACAACCTATGATGGAAGATTAATCATTATCCCAATACAGACATTGTAGTGTGTTTTATTTAAGCTCATGGTGTCTTCTCTCTGAAATGGAAACCTTTCTTTAATCACAAACAGAAAGCTAAAATACAGGGTTTTGTATGTTCTATGTAGCCATTTTTAATGGGCTAATAATTTTTTTATTCTTTCAGTAGCACTTTACCTTCATCTCAAATACATTCGGAATTATAGCCTATAGATTTATACCATTGATAAGAGGCTTTTTTCCCCTGAATTAAGACATACTAAAATATACATCAGGTAGACAACTCTAGTAGGTCACAGAAGGATTTTCTGGAATTTGATTGAGTCTTTATGTGCTGGGCACAGTGCTAGGTGCCAAGAAAAAGGAATACAGAATGAGTGAAACTCTATCCCTGATGGAAATTAAAGTCCTATGGAGAAGGGGACAAATAGGTGGATTACACTTCAACATGAAAAAAATTCTGTAATAACTACAAACAAATCCAGTCATGAACTCTAGAGGCTGAAGGAAGAGTAAAAAAAAAGAGAGAGAGAGAGAAATGCAGGGGATGGTGGGCACATAAAGGGGCAGGAGAAAATGCTCCTTTCCTGTTTCATGGAGCAAGAGAAATACATGTCCTCAACTCAACATCAGGCATGCATACTAGAGTTGCATTCATTAAATAGTTTTGAATGCTGCTACTATTCTGTCTTGGAAAAACAAAATATCCATATGCAGAGTACTGAGAGGACAAAGGGAGAATATGGTTAATTCCTCTAGAGGAAGGAAAGGTCTAGGGAAAATTTCATCGACATTTGAGCTAGGCAATAGAGGATACACGGGCTTTCAGAAGGCAGAAATGTGCAGAAGGACAGTGTAGGCAGAGAAAAGAACAAAGATGGAGGAAGTCATGGTAATCAAGACCTCGTTATACATCCTGCCATGATTAATTCTTGTATCTTATAGCAATGGAGGAGGCACAATGTTGGGTAATAAAAGCCCTGGCTTAGTCAAACCAACTTGATTTGAGTCTTGTTGTTTCATGCACCAACTGTGTGAGTTGGTGGCAAAGTGCTATATCCTTCTATGCCTCCATTGCCTCATCTGAAAAAAAGAAAATTATGTTGTTGCACCACTGCGGAGGGCATCATTCACATCATGCACAGAGGTCCTTCCTATTTCCGGTGGGCTGGGAGAATTAGCAGAGTGGCTGGCACATAATCAGTGTTCAACACGTTAGCTACTTCAAATCGGCAGTTACAATTTTAAAGAATGAATCCATCTGAAATGGATTAAACCTTATTTATAAAGGTTTGTGCATCTCTGCCTTTGTTAGGCAATCTATGTGTTCTGGGATTAATTTGATACAATGCAAAATGTACTTTGCTTAATTTATTGGGCTTCAAATTTGTCATGAAGGAAGTATACAAAGACAAAAATAAAGCAAAGTAAAACAGAACAAAAACTAAATCCCTCAAGAAGGTTTTGAATGAGCAGCTTTTTGTTCCTATGTTGGTTCATTTGATTCATACCACAACATAGAAGTCTCAGATATATTGTTTTTTATTTATAAAACCCAACTTCTGTGACCATCCAGTGTTTCCACTGAGAACATTTCTTAGTGCAATTTTGTAACCCTGAAGTTTAAAGAGGTTTATTGCTTCTTCTCTCTTTATATCCGGAAGCAAGGCTGTTTAGAATGGATTAGTTAATGAGAACATCTGACTCAGAAAATGGGACAGCCATGAATTTGCCTGAAGACTCAGAAACATGGCTAAGGGACAATGATTATTACCAGACTTCAAATGTCAGCAAACACTTCAGGGCTGCAGGAGAGAGACAATAAAACATACAGGGTTTCATGGCTCTTGCTCTGGGGGTCTTTGGGGCAGCTAGAAGGGAATTATTTGCTGAACACATGATAGTCTTTCTGTTACTTGTCCAAATGGATTAATTGAAGCCTGTTAACACTCTGTCTTATAAAACAGAAAATAGCCATTAAGTACCCAGCAGTGCACGTGGAGAATGCAGAGATAAGGATCTGTCTGCAGAGATAGAGTTCGTGCTTCTGGTGAGTACCATGACTAGGTGAAATCAGAGGAGCTTGGTCAGCCGTTTAGACCCTGCGACAGGTTGTATTCAGACTGAGAGGCTGGAGTTTAGTGTGCAGGGTGTTTATGAGGGAGCGCCCTGGATCCACCAGTGAAAGGGAGGGCACAGGATCAAGTGGGAGGAGAAGCTGAGCTGTGATGTGGGCCTGACAGCAGCCTTGGCCAACCCCACGGGGCTCTGGAGCTGAAATGACCCTCCAGAGTTATCTCACATTCGGCTGAAATGGCTGTGCCTTTGTACTTATTAGTTGTTGCATATGGGCTGCCCTCGGAAGGGTAGAACCTGGGGCAAGGTGGCTCTGCAGCGAGGCAATCACTGCTGGGGCTGGTAGTTGAAGGCTGCTTCCCCCAACAGCACTGCAGCAGCTGGGACAAGTACGTCCTGTCCTTGCCTCTGCCGCCCTCCACCGCCCTCCACCTCCAAATTCTATTATAGCATTTGGGGTCCAACCAGTTCGCAGAGACCTGACTGGGCAAAGAAAAGCTCCACCTTCCCTTTCCCACTTTTCTCCCAGAATAGTCTCAAGTAACTCATTATCCAAAAATCACTTACTCTGCTGGGCCAGCACCACCACCCTGAAGACAAAAATATAGACCTAATGCTAGTTCCATGAGGTTGGTTGTATTTTCCCAAAGCAGGAATTATGAAGAGGTTTTACAGCCCAGATTTCTTGGCCCAGCTCCAGACCCACAGATACAGATAAATGTGGGCAGACGCAAACATGTAGCCCACGGGTAGCTCAACATGTTTACTCAAGCCTGAATGCATCATTTTGTTACGCTTGCAGCAGCATTCATCCATTCATCCATCCATCCATCCATCCATCCATCCATCCATCCATCCATCCATCCATCCATCCATCCATCCACAATCCTTATATTTTTACTGTGAATAAATATAACAATATTTATCATTTTAACCATTTGTAAGTGTACAATTTAGTGACATTTAATACATTCATCATGCTGTATATCCATCACCAATCTCTAAACCCAAAACTTTGTCATCATCCCCAACATAAACTCTGGTCTCATTAAGCAGTATCTCCTTCTCCCCTGTCCCACTCCCTGGGAACTTCTATTGTACTTTGTGTCTCTGTGAATCTGCCTATTCTAGGTACCTCATATAAGGGGAATCATTCATGTCCTCTGTCTGGCTTATTTCACTTGAAGCAATGTTTTCAAGGTTCATCCATGCAGCATATATCAAAATTTCATAACTTTCTAGAGCCAAATGGTACTCCGGTGTGTGCATAGACATGTTCATCATCTGTGGATAGATACCTGCTTCCTTCCTTCCGCCACAGCCTCGTAAACTGCCATCCCTTAGCAGCCTCTGGTCCTTTCATTCATTCTTTCTGTTGGCATAATGGCCTTTCTAAGACAAACCACAAGCTGCTCATTGGATACATTCATTACCCTGCAATGTATCCCTGACCCTATGCCATTCGGAGCTGCACCATGGTGCCCAAATTGCAGTGCTCGTCTGTGTGCGTAGGATTGCCTCCACCCACTTCCCCAGGCTGATCTGCTTCATTCTCCTGCAGCCACACCAAGAAGTCTCACTCTGCCCTAAACATGCCATACCCTTGGCCTACTTGTTCTTCTTCATTCCATTTTCCACACAAAAATCACTACACGCCCTTCAGAATCCACATTAAATGTCATTTCTGTGAAGCCCTCCTGAACTCTACCAGGTCACTGGTTGCCCTTTTTTCTGTTTTTCCCAAGTATGTCGTTCCTACCTCTAATTTTAGTCGTTATGGCAAGGTACTGCTTACTTGCCTGCCTTTTTCATTAGATTAACCATAGATGTTTTATTAGCTTGGACTGTAGATTTTTTGCACGTTTATTCCATGTGCCTGGAAACTAGAACAATTCCCCAAGAATGTGGCATATATGAGCAGTGTGATGGGGAGAGGCCTGCAGGTGAAGTCAGAATTCTGGGTTAAAATTTACATACAAATTGTACTGAGAGGTGAATCAAGGCTTTTGTGTTTTATTCAGGGGATAAGGTATAATGGTGGGAGTCTTTTTTTCTTCTTCCTTAAGTGAAAGTTGTAGATTTTATGTCAGATCATAGTAAAAAAAATCTGACATTTCTACATTGGGAGTACAGGCTAAAGCTGAGATTTGATTTTGAAATATGAAAGTAAACTGTAACTAACTCAGTTTAAGTCTCTAGGATTTATATTTATATATAACCTTTAAAGTTCTCCCAACTTTTCACCCTGGAGAAAAGAAGGAATTACAGTAATCTTACTCAGAGCTGGAAGTCTAGAGAGACACCCGTTCTAGGTTAATGGAAAACTGACATGGGTTTGCCTAGGCTTCTAGCAGCGCCCACCCGCTTCTAACTGATGTGAACTCTCACACCCAGGGACACAGTAATGAGTTTCACATTTTAAATCGAGTGCTTCTGTGGTCCAAGCTCAATTGTAAATTACTTCTAAAAACATTTCTTCATGGCATTTTTAAGAGCACTATTTGTTTTTAAACATCACCCTTCTACAGTCCAAAGCTATTTCTTAATGTTGTTATTGCTCATGGCAAACCCATTTCAATTCTCTGAAAACTACTTTTTAGTGCTTTCTATTTGCATTATTTCCACTCAAGTGTGCTGGCACGTGACTTGCTCTTCCTGTACCCCCTCCCCCATCAAGGGCCCATATGTGGAATTGAATCAGAAGCATACAGTGTTAGCATTAGAAGGCTCCCTGGAGTTCATCAAAACAAATTCAAATCTTTGCATTTCCCTTCCTTATCAAGGATGAATAAACTAAGGTACTGGGGCAGAGGACCCATAAGTAAGTAGTAGCAAAATTAAGCTAGGACTCAAGGACCTTCAAGTCTTAAAAGATATCTAGTTTGGTTTCCCCAGAAGCAATACATGAAAACAGGTGTAGTGGTTTATGTTGAGGGGTGGGGAAGGGTCAATCCCAGGAAACACTAGCAGGAACATAGGGAAAACATCAGACAGGGCAGGAAAGACAGCAATTTAGGATGTGTTAATGAACAGATTAACTCTGGGGGCAACTGGGGATCTGTTCCCCCAAGAACTTCTGGAGTGGTTTAGAACAAGCCCAAAGTTGTCCCACTGGAGAGGCAGGAACCTGGCAGTGCTCATCCACCAACTCTTGTTTATCCTGGTTGGGGGCTGCTCCCAGGACTTGAAGTCCCCTGCACTTCCAGCCTGTTCTATTCAGGGGACCAAGAATTTTTCCACATCTCTCGGGAAACCTCACAGCTCTTCCTCAGAGATGAGAGGCTGAAACAAAAGGTGATCATAGGACTGGTATTTGCAAATGAATAAATACTATCCCTGTTTTTCACCATGCACTTTTACACCTTTCCACCTTTGCACATGCTGTCCCTTCTACCTTGTATGACTTCTTCAAAACTCCTATCCATGCTCCAAAGGCCAGCTCCAGTGGGTGCTTTTCTTTTAGATCCTTTCCTGATTGCTCAGGAAAAATGTATTGCTCCTCCATTTTTGCTCTGATAGCAGGTTATGCTGGCTCTAAAATAACATGACCAGGTACCATCATGCCTCCTTGTGTGCCCAGCTGACCTACTAACAGTAGTAGTAATAGCTAATGTTCATTGAGTTTAACAATGACTATGCACCAGGCATTGCTTTAAATACTTTATGTGAATAAACTCATTTAATCCTCTCAACAATTCTATGAAGCAGCTGCAGTTACCATCTCCATTTGGTAGGAAGGAAGCAGAGAGAGGTTAAGCAATGTTCTCAGTATCATGTAGTTACCAAGTGGCAGAGCCAAGGCTTGGTTGCCGAAGGTCAACTTGCCAAGGGCCTGCTTTTAACCACTGCATAGGACAGCCTCTCTTTGGCTGGAATAGAGAAGCGAGCCCAAGGACTGAACCGTGGGGGTATTTCTACCAGTTTTTATAGGGCCTCATGCCAGGCTAGGAAACACTGTCTCCTATAGAACCTTAAACAGGCAAATGGAAGATTTACATTTTACAAAGGTTACCCTCACTTTAGTGCCTAGGCTGAATTGGAAGAGGAGAAATTGAGAACAGAGATTATAGACAAGAAACGATGCAGAGATCCAGGTAAGAGATAAGAAGTCCCAAGTTTGGCAGGGAACCCCCCACTGCACCCCAGCTGACCTCTGCTCCCCTCCCTAGCTGCTCCCAGCACAGCAGGGCTACCATGCATGGATATACAGCTGGTGCCCTGCACAAATGCACCTGGCCAAGGGGCATGGAGGGGCAGGAACACAGACTGGGCTCTGACTGCCACCTGTGAGCCCTGGAGAGGACTCACATATGCCAAGAAGGAAGGGCACCTTTTGCTTACTTTCCCAAAGGAGCCAGTGTGGACTAGCAGTGGACTTGCCAATTCTGACATCTTACACTATTTTTTGTTTCCTGTTTGTCATGTTTTTTCCCACCTCTGTTTTGAATTTTTGGTTTCCTCTGCTAAGGACCCTTTTTCACTCTTTCATTAATTCATTCTTTCATTTATTCATGCAATACTTGTTTTTTAGCACTCATGATGTAGCAGGTAACCTTTTAGGTGTTGGGAGGCAGGGGGAAACTTACAGTCTAGGTGAATATCAATGAAATGATTATATAGATATGTCACTCTGACACTTTCTTTGAAAGCGAAGTCAGGGGACCATGAGGCTGTATGCTGGGTGCTGGGGACGTATCTACTCTGGGATGCAGGTGGCCATGGTAAGGTCATCACTCCGCCACCAACTGAAGGAGAATCCCCCCACCTTGTGCGTGACCGTGCCAGCCACAGTGCAGAGCCCACCAGGACCCTAAAGAATACTAATATAACATCTTTGAACACCCGTTAATGTCTGGGTACACAGTCACTCAGGATGTGGTCCTTGGCCCTTGCCCCTTGGGGTACTGATCTCATGAAGGAGACAAGTATTACCGCACAGCGACCCACGCTGCCACAGGAGCAGGTCCACAGGTGTAGAGCAGGGGGACCTTGACCTGGTTGTGGGCATGAACAGCTTTTGGAGGAGGGACCCAAGCAGGGTCATGGAGCTTCCCAGGGCAGGGGATGCCTAGCAGGCAAAGGGTGAGGGTCATAGGCCCAGCTTCCCTGGCTCCTCCACTTGCTCTTAAGCACAGAGCAGTCTGTCCTGACTCTTTTCTTCAACAAGTCATGTCTCCCTAAGTAGCCTTTAAGTTCACCAAGGCCCTGGAGACTGCACACGTGTGTGTGCAGGTAGGGAGAGGCAGAAGGTGAGTGGTGCCGAGAGTCCCTGCCCCCGAGCTCCCTGCCAGCTGCATTGTTTGTGCCTTTCCACCTGGTCCCTCCATCCTTTGGGCCTGACAGGCACCCCTGCAAAGCCACCAATGGAAGGGTAAGTCCCTCCTGGGTAGATGTCTGCTAGAAATAGCTGCCTGGGGGCTGGGAACTGGATAGACAGGGCAAGAAGAAGGAGGAAGGAAGGGATACAGGTGAGCAAAGATGCATTTCGATTTCTGCAATGTTCTTGCCACTGCTTTTCTTGTATCTCCCACATTTTCACCTCAAAATACAGTAAAATTCCTGAAGAGATTCGCCAAGAGGGGGGAAGCAGTGTTTTTGAGGTAGGAACGGAAAGTGGTGTGATGGAAAGAGAGCTGGAGTCAGGAGACCCAGTTCATGAGTCCTGCAGTGTGTGACCCTGAGCAAACCCCATGCTCTCTCTGGGCCGGCATTTCTCCCCTTGTCCAGTGTGCACACCGGGTGAGCTGCTCTGCAGGGGCTCCTGCAGTCCCAGCTTCTGTGGTCTCCAGCTTCAACAGCAAGGTGGGAGAAAAGCCTATCTCGATGGCAGGCTGTGTTTAACCTGTCTCCGCTGAAGCCAGGTATGTGAAGTTATGCAAAATAGCCCCAGAGGAAGACATTGATGGCCAGCAGGAGGACAGCATTAACGTTGCAGACGCTTCTCCAGAGTGGCTTCTCCTCGATGCTGGTCAGCTTCTGCTGGAGTGCGGCTGCCTCTGCTGGGCTTAGGGTTTGCTCTTGGGCCCTGGAGAGCCCACAGAACCAGCCCCAGAGCCACTTTCCCCAGGACCTGCATGGGGCTGAGGGACAAAAGTCAAGAGAAGGAAAGCAGAAGGGAGAGGCAAGGCGGGGTTGGAGACGGGAGTGATGAGGCAGCAGGGGCGGGGGAGATGGTGAGAAACCAAAGAAAAGGGTGAGGCATGTGGGAGAGCGGATAGGATGGCTCAGCCCTTCCTGCAGGCCCACAGCCTGGGTGCTGAGTTGGGACGCCAGACTGGGCTCTGGCCACGGCATCCTGACAGTCACCTAGCAGAGGGTGCTCAGTGTGTTGGGGGGCAGAGTGTGCTAAGGTGTGAGGATAATGCCATTCGTGCAAATTCAGGGCATGAGGATGGAGTTGGGAGCCTGATCTCAGCCAGGAAGGGGGCAGCAGTTGAGACAGCCGAGCCCTGGCACTGCTGTGGGGGTAGCCCCGGGCTGGAAGGCAGGACCCCTCCTTCCAGGACCAAGGCCGCAAGCAAACCACTCAGCTTCTCCGAACTGAGGCTCTTTCTCTCTCTCACAGGTCAGTGATGCCCTGCTCTTCTCCAGGTTGTTTTGAGCATCAAAAGAGAATGGAGATTTGGCCACACTTTAAACAGTGAACAGTGTTGGAGCAGTGCGGAGAGTGCAGGCAAACATAACATTCTCGCCATGCGTGCACCTGTGCAAGGCAGCCGCCAGCTTCCCCGGTGCAGAGAAGGGCCTGCTTTGAGGTTAAAGGGTAGCACAGTTCACTAAAAACTAATGGCAAAAGAAATAACAAAGGAGCTAAGTATTTAAATTTGGGGGGGGATTAGCAGATAGCATATTAATATAAAATTAACATGAAAAACCTTTCACTGAGGTTGAATAGAACCCATTAGAAATGCTTTATTATCTTAATGGCTTTGAAGCTGGTATTTGGTAAGCCCAGTGTGACCACAGAATGCCAAGGATGTGAAGACCCTGGGAACAGTCTGCTCTGGCTTCCTCGTGCCCAGAGGAGAAAGGCTCAGAAAAAGGAAGGGACTTGCATTCGGTCACCAAGCTGCGGAGCTGCACTGAAAGCAATAATAGAAATTCAGCATTTTGATAGTACTAGGCTTTGTCACTTTACAAGCCTGGCCGAGCACTCGCTTTGAATTCTCATGCAAGGAGGCCGAGGATGCACAGAGCTTCACGTGTGAGTTCCGGTGACCAGAATCCTACATCACTTGTAAGGTATAGTGGTGAGCAATGTCTTAGCACGTCTAAATCTGTCTACAGATTGGGACGTATACACTTTTTTCAGATCTACTCTGCTAGCCTTTACATTTTTGCTTAACTTTCCTTCTTTAGGAATGAAAATTTACACAGCCACATTTCTTTTTAACTTGAGGACAACATTGGAGGAGAGCCTTCCTCTGCCTGTGAGAGCTGGCTGCTTCTACCCCCTTCCTGTTGTTTCCTTTGGCAGGAAAGGGGCTTTTGCATCCTACAGCACTTGCCTCTCCTGTGCTTTTCCTCCACCTTGGTTGGGGAAGGATTTCCCTGAACTTCTCGGCTGACTCAATGTCTCCTTTTGGGAGCAAGCAGCCCACAGGGAGCAGGCATTTCTCTGTTTCTCTGCAGCCAGGCTCTGCCCCTTAGCAGGGGGCCAGCCAGGGAGGGCTGCCAGGGACCATGTATATCTGTCAAGTCTTGGGGTTCAGCTGGGAGACTGTGACCTGCCTCCTCCCATTGGGAACTACCTCTACAGCTTCTTCCCCTCCTCTTTCCTCTCTCTTGGTAGCTGCCTCACCTAAAAGAGCCTGTGCTCTCAGAATCATTCCTCCATGCCTACATTTTACAGGGGCCCAGACGTGATCCTTGTGACAATGTGGGGGAAGCAGATTTGAGACACCAACATCTGGTGCATAGGTCACAAAGCTTGGAAAGAGACAAGGGGCTAGTTACATTTTTGCCAAGCAAAATACACCTGAAGTAAGAGGAGCAACTGATCAGCCCTGGGAGGGTGACTCTGGCGGTGCTTTCTGAAGTGAGAGCCTGTGTGGGTTTGACCTTGGAAGTTTGTAGTGGATTACATTCTCCATTATGGATAGCTTTTTATAATGACCACTGGCTTTTAATTGCTGCAGCTTGGGTAAGAAGATTTGAGACTCAGATATGTGTGGGCTTCTGGGGCTTATGCTGTCATTAACTCTAAGCAAATGAGGGTTTCTCAGTCAGGGCAAAGGTGAGGGGCTTCACAAAACTGGAGGTTTCTCAGGCCTCAGGGGAATCACAGGGTCCCTAAAACCCATCAAAGGCAGAGAGCTGAGTGGCACAGGGGTGCTGGCTGTGTGAGCCCAGCAACCATGCTTTGACGCTTTGATAATCTTATCTATGCTCTTACCTTGCTGGAGTGGCTAAAACTGTGGCACACCAGAGGCTAGGCATGGAGCTAAGGCACTAGTTGATGTCCTGATGGACTCTGCCCTATCCAGTGGGACAGGGCACCGGCTGAAGGCCCCCAGCACACCAGGGGCTGGGCTTCCCTCTAACCGAGGCAGGAAGTAAATTTAGGACTTAAACTTCATTAAATTTTTAACTCACAAGGGCAAGAGAAATTGATGTTGGGCATTAACTTGTAAACTGGCTTAACTTTAATTTTTCCTCAGGAATTTTATAATTTGGAAATCGCTGTAATGTTGTCGCTACATCAGAATGTCTTAGTGTTTCTATTTAATCTCACCACAGGAAGGTTATAGACGCATTGCATCTTAAACAGCTACATTATGTCTTATGCCAGTTTTTAACCTTAGATACTGTATGATCTTGGAGTAAACTGAATTAATGTACTGTCCTAACATACTTAAGAACTTCCAGGAAGCAAAAGTTGTATGGCCCGATCAGCAGCTCAAGAAAGATACCACAGGGATGGTGGTTGGTTGGTTGGTCTGGAGGAACATTATGTAGACACACAGCACAGCGTGGACACGTGGCTGCTCCGGCCCCATAAGGGAGAGCCGTGCTTCTGTGTGACTATAGGCAGAATTGTTACACCCAGTGGTAAATAAGTAAATTAAAAAGTGGTCGTGGCAGCTGGGGGAGGGTCTGTTTCTTTTCCATGTCAGATGTTTCCTTCCATCTGGAGGGACCTCAATTAGTGTAACAACCTTTGATTTTCTGCCACTCGGCTCATTCAACCAGGGGGCATGAAGAGACTTTCTGTCTCAAGACATTGGAAATGTAAAGAGGGCGTGCTTGGCGCAGTCCCTTCCTCCTCCTTGATCGCAGTGCAGTGCTCACAGGAGTAGGCTACTGGTGGGTGCCTCTGTCCAATGCTGGGGTTCAGTATTAGGAAGTGTACCTCCCCCTAAATATAAGAAAAATCTGTCCATGTTCAGTTTATCAGCAATGCGGCCAATATTTTGGTTTCCGACTGCTTTACTCATTTTTCTTATTTCTCAAATAGTTTAGTAGCCACGTGGAAAGGGAGGAGAGGTGATAGTTTCTGGGATCCCTCAGAGACTCCATCTCCAAATAAGGTTTTTGGGGACCCACGACAAGGTGTCTGTCCCCATTGCTCCTCTGTGAGGTACAACCCACATACCCCCAGCCTACCTCCAGGCTGCTTCTGGCCCTGGCTGGAGTTCTCTGCCCCTCTGCCTGCTGCAGGGCACTCCCCAGATGGTGTCTCCCTTATTCCTGTGGTTCCTTCATGGGCCTCCTCCTCCAGCTCAGCGTGGGGACAGTGCCGGGTCCACCATGTCAGGCGAGCAAGCTGGAGGGACGGAAAACACGGCCTGACTCAGTTACCTTTGGAGGAAAGTCCTGCTGTAGAAAAGGAGGCTCCCCTTCCTAGGGGGCCATCAGAGGAGCAAGGAGTGTGGGCAACAAGCTCAGGGCTGGGAGTCAGAAGGCTCCGAGCCCTACTGCCCATCCTCTGAAAATCTGCACTCCCTGAGCATGAGCTCCGGCCAGGCCAGCAAGGGGTCATGGCCCTGACCTCACGTAGCTCACAGACCAGGAGAAAAGCTGGGCAGGGAGGCAGGTCACCCTCAACAAAAGGCCCTCAGGGTCAGACTAAGGTGTGGACGCTCTCAAAAAGAAACTTGTAGGCCATGGAGAGTCAGTGCCGACTATAGGCAAAGGGAAGAGACTAAGTCCTAGGGTTTAGAAAGATCTCCTGGAGTGAATTGAAGGGATCCAGCCGGCAGGCTTGCAAAGGACAAGCAAGAAATAAAGAGGGGCTGAGGAACGTGAGGGAGTGGCCTTCAGGTATGATGAGGAGCAGGATCTGCAGGCCTGGTGATGAGAGAGTGAACCATGGAGGGCAGGGATGCGGCCAGCTCGCTCTCAGGTTCCCCCCTTGGACCGTCGGATGGTAGTGGTGCTCCCCACAGAGAGGGCCGGAGAAGGAACAGGGTTCTGTGAAGGTGGGAGTGAGAAAGAACAAGAGGTTTTTTGGGACCCACAGCATGGTGTCTGTCCCCATTGCTCTTGAGGGTATGTGCTTGCGCTCAGGTATGATGAGCTGGAATAGAAAGGAGGGGAGCTGTCCACGTGCAGAGGAGAAACCCTGCTTCCCCTGGGCAGCCCTGGGCGCTCTTCTGCTATTCCCTTTTTGGCAGGCTCAGCAGAGAGGGACACAGCAAGTTCTCTGGCTGGTGCCAGCTGGCCACAGCCATGACTACCTAGGCTCAGAACAATCTCCTCTCCAGCAAGGCTCTTGTCCTGGTCAGGAAGTTCTTTGATACATATTGAACCAGGTATCCCGTGCCTGCCCCGACTTCCTACAAATATGCACAGCAGAGCAGAGCGAGAGCCTCTCTCATGGGAGATTTTCCACTGTGCAAGCAGCTATGCCTCTCCTTGCATCTGAGAGCCCGGGATGCTGCTTTGCTTATAAATATCTCTCAGTAAACTTTATCCTTACACTGTGTCATTAGCAGCATACGGACGGTATCTGTGTTACCAGGGAGCAGTTGGATTTTGGGGTTGAACCTTGGGAAGGAGTTTTGGGTGGAAATAGAGAATTGAGTTCCCTTTTTCTATGGAGGGTGGCTGAATCCACGGGCATGGACATGATAGCTCCAGGGCAGTGCGGGGTGAGAGGGTCATAGGCTGTAGGTGGGTCTCTAAGGAACAAGATAATTGATGGGCAGGAGAAGAAGCCCATGAAGAAGGCAGAAGGGTAGAAAAATCATGTCATGAAATGAACAGAAGGGAGGGAGCTCTTCGGAATTCAGGAAGTGATCAGTGGTGCCTGGTTCACTTGAGAATTCGCTTAAGATAAAGAATGGGAAAGTGACCTTGATTTTTAGCAATAAGAAGGTTATTGTGGTTACCCGCATGAGCAATTTCAGTGGGAAGGTGGGACACCGTCCACACTGCTGTGGGTTGAGTAGACCAGAGGGGGCAGTGGAGGATGGGAGTGGAGACCACTCTTTGCTGAGTTTCTCTTGAGAGGAAGGAGGAGCAGCTGTAGCTGGAGGCAGCAGGATCCGGGGAGGGGAGTTTTCATGGGATTCATTTCAGCATGGGAGTGAGGCAGCAACTATGGAAAATAATTTGAAGGCTCGAGCAGTGGGGGGAGAGCATCTCTGGAGTGGGCCACTGGAGAAATGGGCCTTTCTTGGCTCCTCTGTGGATATGTTGCTTGCTTGTAGGAATTAGTGACACCAAAGGTATAAAGTCATTTTGCAAACTCTAAAGCACTATACAGCTAAGGGGTGTTAGTAATGATTTCCACTCAATGTTTCAAGGACCAGCCTCTGGCGTGGGCTCTGTTAAGGGCTGAACTGTCCTCCCCAAATTAGTATGTTGATGTCCTAACACCTGGTGCTTCAGAATATGACTGTATTTGGAGGGAGGGTCTTCAAAGAGGTAATTAGGGTTAAACAAGGCCGTCAGAGTGGTCCTAATCCACTGTGACTGGTGTCCTTCTGGGAAGAGGAGATTAGGACCCCTTCGGGCAGAGAGAGACCATTTGATGCAGAGAAGGCAGGCAGCTGTAAGCCAAGGAAGGAGGCTCAGGGAAATGACTCTGCTGACCCCCTTGATCGCAGGCTTCTAGTTTCCAGAACTGTGAGAAAATTAATTTCTGTTGTTTAAGCCCCCCAGTCTGTGGCACTTTATTAGGTCAGCCCAAGAAAATGAATACTCTCCTTCTCTAAAGAAAAATGTTTTCAAAACATGGTTTCAATGTCCCAGGACTGGTAAATCCAGACAGTGTGGGAGAGGTGAGGACTTTGAATTGAGTGTACTCTGGCCGACTCTGTTTCTTTTTTCATATGCCTGTTTTTTGACCAGTAAACAAATCCCTACTCATTCTTCTAGGTCCAAATCAAAGTAAGCTTGTCAGGGAGCCCTCCCCAGCTCCCCAGGGAAACTACCTCTCCTGAGCGGGCCCCTCCCTTTGAGCTTGGTCCTTCTGCACTTTCTCTTGGTAGAGTAACTGTTTTGGTGTGTAACTCTGACAGTCACTGGCAGGGACCATTCATCCTTGTAGTCCCAGCATAACACCTGGAACATAGTAGGTGCTCATGGAATAACTTTCCAACTAAATGAATTACTTTTACCTTGGGAATTAATGACCTAATGAGCTCCCCCTCCCAAGGACATCTGTATGGCAACAGGGGAGACCACACCCAGCAGAGGAAAACTCAGTGGTGGGATTCCAGGTACTGGGGGTAGGGACAGCATTGGGGGGGTGGGGAGCTCAGTCCAGCAGCCCACTTGCCTTTGCCTCAGGGATGGGGGCTGTACAGAGGCTGACAGTGATGGTGACGAAGGCAGTAAGCCCACAGAGGAGGAGGGCGAAATAGAGGTAGTGCATGTCCTTCAGCACGGCTGGCCTCCCATCTGCCTCCCCACAAGCTGGGGCTGGGTATGAGAACTCCAGGATCATGCGCAGAAGTCCCACAGCCAGGCCAAACATGAGGCCCCAGAAGGCTCCCTGTGGAGAGAGGGCAGACGCAGGCAGGGGTGCGACCCAGGTGGGACACCCTAGGAAGCTAAGAGCCACCAGTTTCTTACAGTGTTTGCAAGTCCGCTTGAGTCAGTTCCCCAGTGCTAAGGCTTTGTCTTAACTTAAAGGCAGGTATCCCCTTCTTTTTGAAAGTTTGCATGATGCCATTCACTTTTATGGAAGACCTGTGTTAGTACCTGCTTTTGCTAACCAAAATAAATCCAAAAAGGATGTTCATTTGCATGAAAAAAGGCAACAAGTACAAACAGCATTTGGTGTTGGCTTTGCAGTGAGCCCTTAGAAGGCAGCCTGCACTCCGAGCAGGGAGAGAGGCCCCGCCGTGCTCCTCCAGGGAGCTCCACTCAGCATCGAGCTGCAAGAGCTTTGAACTATAGCTGTAAACATCTGTACTTTATCTTGATTTATTGTGTGCATCCATTAGCAAGATGTGTCAGAAAAGCCTAAGAGAGGTTATTTTTTGGCTCTGAGAATGCTAAAAAATTTTTCCATATAAATTAATGGTAATTGATTTTGGCTTACAAAAGATTTCATAGGAATGCTCCACTTTCAGATGGGAGGAGGAAATCTGTTTTGGAAAGGGCACAGGCTGGAGTCCGACAGACCAGGATTTGGCCTGGCTCTATTCCAGAGTGACTGGAACAGGGACTTAACCTCACTGGCTTGAAGTTTTCTCATGTGCAATGATAAGAGAAATTAATAGACACTAAGTATAGATGCTTAGTATTCAACTAGAATGGAATATGTTTTTTGTGATAAGTAGAGAAAACCAGGATCCCCTATCCTGAATTTTTGTTATGATGAACCAAAATCACAATAGAAGTCATCATTTTTGTTGTTTTTAAGAAAAGCTCAGGCACCCCCATATCTTTTTTATAGCACCTTTTGACCCTATACGTGTTCCTCACATGTAAGAGTCAAATGGCTTATATTTTCAAAAATGAGATGCTGATTCTAATTTCAAAAATTCTGGAATGAGCAGAAACACCTAGAATTCAGCAGAGTCCTGCTGTGCCCCGTGGTTATCAGTAGGGAGGTTAGACCTCTGCACACAGTGGACACCACAGACTCCTCACTTAGGTACTCTGTTGGGGGAGGGGTTTGTGGTCATGACCTTGAGCTCTCACATGGCTCCCGGGTAGTCGTGTCCATGACATCCCTTAACTCCCCAAGGTAGAGCAGCAGATTTGGGCCTGTCTTTTCTAGGCTGTCCTGATGGGTAACCAAGGTTACAGTCCTGGTACCTGTAGCTCCTCCCAGGCCTGTCAGGTTTCAGGGCACTTTCAGAAGAAGGCACATGCAGGCTCCCCTGTAAGTTCACACTTGGTTTCATCTCATCATTGCTGTTATTTTGCCTACGTATAGAACCTTGTACTCTTAAAGGCCAAAGATGCTAGAGATCACTCAGTCTGTCTTGGACTTTCACACCTACTATTCCTTGTGTCTGGAACAGTGTTCCCTCTCCCATAAATCCCTCAGGTCTCAGGGCAGATGTCATCACATCCAGGAAGGCTTTCCTGACTCCCTCCCAGGCATCCCATAGGTTGGGTGCTCCTGCTTTTTACTCTCAGAGCAGCCAGTAGACTTAATTATTATTGCTTGTTGAATCATCCTTCCTCCCTGCTGGCCCAGTGATGAAAGACCTACATGAACCTTGTAAACCACTGCATCTCCAGAGCCTCCATCATAAGATTGTAAATGTTTGTTGGATGAATGAATCAATATAGACCCAATGCTATGGATGGGGAGATGGAAGACTAAGTGGGCAGACCAAGGTCACATGCCAGACCAGTCCTGCTGGGTCTCTGGTGTACCAGGGGACAGAGGTGTAGCTGTACTCACAGGCTCTGTGACCCTTTTGCAAAAGATGGCCAGCAGGAAGAGTGCAGTGATGGGCGGGGCCAGGTAGCTGGTGACAGACTGGATGTAGGTGAAGAGCTGCCCGCTGCTGGAGCTTTGGATGATGGGGATCCAGAGGATGCTGATGGCAACGAGGAACACCACAAACACTCTGCCGGGAGGGCACAGGGCACTGTGAGGGTGGCCTGGCATGGTGTGGCATGAAGGTAATGCCCAGGGAGGGAGAAGGGAGGAGAATGCAGCCACCGAAGAAGAGAATGGTAGAAGCTTGAATCCCAAATACTAAGATTTTAGAAATTTAGACTCTTTTAAAATCACAGACTGTCAGATTCCAGAATCCAAGAAACCCAGAATTTTTTACTTGGATGCCTTTGAGGCCATGCAGCCCACCTGCGCTTCAGGGAGGTATGTACACCTCTCACCTCACCACCCACCTCAGATAATGGCCTTGTATCTTTGTTGGATGCATTTGCTGGTCTTTTCACATAAAAACCTGGTGCAAGACACCCTCCTTCTCTGGGAGGCCCACCACCTCCAGGGACTGCTCCCTTCTCTCAGCTCCTCCAGCTCTAACCCCTATTGCTTTAGACTGGCATATCTAGTAGCAGGGGCTCACCTTCCTCTCCGGAATCCCAGTTGATCCAGGTTCAGGCCCAAATCCAGTAAGATGTATGTATGTATGGTTTTGCAGGTGTGTGAACAAGTTGACAACACACTTTTCTTGGATGTTTGTTTGGTACAATAATGCATAAGACCAGGAGATGGCGCCCAAACCCCACTGATGGATAAAATAAATGGCAGTGAACTTGGGGGCCGTTGTGTGCAGAGACGGAAGGATGCTTCTTTTGAAATGGCTGTGCACACCTGTCCTCTCCTTTCCTTTCCCTCCCACTTTCTCACTCTTAGGCCCCACTACAGCAGCAGCTACCCAGGTGTTCTCCCTGCCATGCATCCCCCCTTCTCTTTGCCCAATCTGTCCTGCACTCCAGGTGGTCAGTCCCCTGTGTGTAGGGCTAGGGCGCTCAGGTGAGCAGGTAGTAGGAATCCGCTTGGCAGCCATGGACAGAAAGCATCCTGATGGAAGCAGCAGTGAGAGCAAAGGCAGCGAGATGGAAAAGAGCACATTACCATCTACCAAAAGGAAATAAGCACGTTCATCCAGTTACCTAAGTTATACAGCCTTAAATTATTAAGCAAAACTTTCAGAAAGGTCCCTTTAAACCTGTGTAAACTAAAAGTCCCCAGCCTAGGGACAAAAAGAAAATGAGCCACCAAGTGATACACTGAAAAGCATAAAACTGACACCTACAAGATGAAGTTCAAATTCTTTAACTTGGTGATCAGGGCTCTGCAACATTTGGAGACAACCTTCGAATGAACATCTGCAATGCAGAATCCTCAGGGTATTACCTGTGTTCCTGCCTTTCTCATTTAATGATGCATACCCTCAGAGCAGGGCAGTGTAAGTCATGTCCCTGTCCCCAGCACAGGTATGATGAAAGGTGGATGCTCAGGAGGAGTCTGACGGAGTAAATTAATAGCCTTTCTGTAATCCTAGGAGAGCAACCAGAGCTGGTCTGAAAGCTCCTGCAGAGGAGCTGCTTGCTAACTTCCTCCCACTTAACAGAGTTCACCTTTCATTTCTTAAATGCTTTGTCAGCTTTGCTCATTTATCCTGCTGATCAATTCCAAGGGAAAATTAAAGAGGCAGGGAAGAGAGATTTCTCCTTATTCTGGAAGGGCAGGAGTGGTACAGAGCTGGAGAGAGACTTACCTGACTGAGGTCACGTAGAAAGTTGCCGGTACAGACAGGTGCTCTGCCGGCCAGGTCAGGGTCCAGACCCAGCGGCATCTCCCCAGGGAAACCCAGGGCAAGGAGGAGGGGAGAGGGGCTCCGCCTACAGGGAGGTGGCACTCCGGAAGGATGGGCCCTCATACCTGCCCACCAGCATCAGCTCCTGCTCTGGCGCCTTCCTGCGGAAGCGCTGCCACACATCAACGGCGAAGAGGGCGCCACTGCTGTTGAAGATGGAGGTGAGTGAGCTCATGAGGGCGGCCATGATCACGGCGATCATCAGGCCCCGCAGACCTGGAGAGAGAGGAGGTCTGCATGGACAGCTGGCCTAGTTGGGCAGGCTTGGCCAGGAGCCATGAGGCTACCGAGTCTGGCAGAACCAGGAGTTTGGGGGTGGGGCTGGGGTGGGAAGGCAGTGGCAGAGGCTCCCACCCTGTGCAGACAGGGAATCCAGGAGGACCAGAGGCCCAGCCAGTCTGCCTCTGCCTTGCTCTGTGGCCTCTCAGAGCCTCAGTTTCTCATCTGTCCCATTACAGGGTGGGAGAGTAGGTGATCTTTAAAGTCCTCTGCAGCTTTGGCATCTTAGTCTGGGTTTTAGAGCTTGTAGACACTTGGTTAGTGGGTCCCTGGTGGGGAGGAAGGTGACTGATCATAACTGGGTGTCTTCTGTGTTTTGCTACCTTTTTCACGAACCGCACTGCCAGGCTAAAGCCCCTGCTTGGAAGGCAGAAGCCCTGGATTTGTTTCCTGGTTTTGCGAGTAACTAGCTGTGTGATCTTTGAACTAGTTCCTTCTTTTCTGGGTCGTTTTCCCCCTGTAGCAAGAGAGGGTGGGACCCCTGGTATCTGAAGTCTCTAGGACTCTAATGGCCAAGCTTCTAGAAGCAGGACTGCTCACCCCTGGGGGCATGACTCCCCACCCAGCCGTCCCTCCCCCTGCCCAGTCCAAATATGTAACACCTCCTGGTTTGGAAGACTCACGGTGTCCCAAACCTGGGCCAGCATCTTCCTCCCAGACTTCTGCTTCTTCCTTTGGTTAGTAACATATATCTTTAGTCCCCTCTGCCAACCCAGTTACCCTGCAGATGATATGAAGCCTGAGAGCAAGGGTCTGCCTTTTATCCTGCATCTCTGGGGCCAGGGCACAGCACAGGTGCCTTACAGACACTTGTGAAAATTTTGTGTGTGTGTGTGTATGTGTAGGGGAGGGGAGTGGGAAGGCCTTTATGCCCTCTTCTTGTCCATGTTCATCCTTAATGCAGTCCTCTCAGACAGTGGGGGTTGGCAGA